TTAGTTGAACTAAATAAAAAGTGCATGGCAGCAGCAAAGGCTAATGCAACTCACTGTATCATCATCTGCTACTATTATCTGTAAAACTACTCTTGTGGAAGAAACAGGACCCTGCTGTACCAGCCTCTTACATGAATACACCCACTGTGCTGCTGGCAGCTTCACACACTTTGAGAGGAGTCATCGCAATCATGCTGAAAAAAGAAACTCGCTCTCCTTGCCAAACATAGACCCATGCTTGTGCTTTTGTGTGTGTGTGTGTGTGTGTGTGTGTGTGTGTGTGTGTGTGTGTTATTGTGTGTGTGTGTGTGTGTGTGTGTGTGTGTGTTGTGTGTGTGTGGGTGTGTGTGTGTGAGAGAGAGAGAGAGAAAGCAGAACGACATATCTGGATGTTTTGGAAAAGAGACAAACGGAGCGGGTGAATAGCTCCTGAATATCTGTAACGTGTTGCGCAGAGTTTGCTAAAGCGAGGGGGGCGTGGCATGACCATCTCACTTTCTCTGACACTTGAGATTTTGAATGTGGCGTCAGGGGCACGGCTGCTTTGCTCTCATCAGTTATCTGGACCTGGGTATCTGTATAGCTCTTTGTCTGTCAGCCACTTTATCTTTGTGCTTGTTCATCTGCTTGTCTGACAGGGGAGAACAAACTGTGATGGAAGCTTGATCAACTGGAGGGACGGCGTTAAACTGCACCGCTATGTCCTTCACACATGGTTACTGAGGCCTTTTGTGCATGTGTGTATGTTTGTGTTAGTCTTTTGCTTGACTCACAAACGCACCATTAATCCTCTGTCCTAGAACGCGACATTTTCCTTTTTTTCTCTCCCACTTGGCACATTTCGTGATTACACTACACAACGTCCATTGGCGTTTTGCATAATTAGGCCACTTATATCAAATGCAGGCAGATTCTAATGGAGCGCTAAGGGGACATATTTACTTTAATTACTACCCTCGCTATCTCTGCACTTCATCCTCCCTTGCTTCCACCTCCTCTAACCCACTCCCTTCCTCGGGCGAGTGCAGTGGCAACGTCGAGGGAAAGAAGATTGAAGAAGACTGTTTTTCCCTCAAAGGTCACACTCTCTCCTCATTGGAGTTAAGATAGCATTTGACCTTACAGCCCATTACAGAGCATGTTGCTCGACCACAGTCTCAAGGGAACAAACGGAATAAACGGATAAATAAAAACCTGGAGTCTCCCATTACAAGGAAAGAGTGTGAACAGGTGTGTGTTTGGAGTTGTGCGATTGTGGGTCAGGTGTACGGGCACATGTGAGTGTTTTATTTACAGGAAGCTTTTAGAGTTTTCTGTCAATAACAGCAGAGTCTGAAAAAAATCTCCAAAGAGCACTCTAACACCACAGACCACGCTTGGCTGCGTGCTTCCACCCAGGAAAGAGCATAGATAAGTACAATGTGAAGGAGAATGAAACCTCAAAGCCCCACACTAGAAAGCCTATTTACCAGCTGATTGTTAGAACCACAGTAACACCAGGGTACATTTAGACAGCAGAGTCTAGATTGCTATTGGACTGCTTTCACTTGAACCATTTCATGCTCCTTTTATTCAGGCTGTTTGTCTGCCTCTGTAGGCTGCTAAGATTGCAAACTTCTCTGCAATTTTTCTTAACTCTAACCCTTTATTTTGGCAGCACGGCTGTGGGAGATGAAACCCGACGGCGCCGTGAGAAGAGATGAGGGAAGAATGAGAAGAGAGCAGGGAAGTGTGAGGAAGGGCGAAGACCACGAAATGAAAAGAAAGAAACCACCCTGCCTTAATGACTGGCATCATTAGACTTTGTGACTTGTCATCCTTCCGTTCTTTAACTAGACTCCATCATGAAAAGTCCATCACTGAAACAGCACTTAGTAGCAGAGGGGTGCCAGGTCTGAAAAGACACTCCACATAAGAAACCTTGAGTGAGGAAAGAGATCTTAGCTGGAGGTCTGCTTTTGAAAGGATAATTGATTGTAACCAGTGATGGACGTGACGGGCTCCATCGGTACACTAAAGTGCACAGGCGACACGTAGTGCAGGCTGAGCATCTTTCACTAGCCACTGCATATTTAATCCCTGGATAACTGAAAACTAACCCTGGTGGTGTATATGATTAAAAAGGACTCGAGCTAGAAACAGAAACATTCTAGAAATGAAAATACTGCGACGTGATGCACACCTGCTGCTGCGCTCCTGAATTATAAATCGCACCAGCATACCAGAAATGGCAGTGGCCTCTATTTTTGATCATGCTAGATCAATGACCCGCCTCCAGGACTGAGTGTCTGCGAGAGACGGAAGAGATAAAAGAATAAAATGCGAGCGTGTGTGTCAACTCTCCCAGTGTGTATGTGTGTGTTTGTATGTGTCACAGTGAAGGTCAGCCCCATCTATGAGTAACAGGAGACCGTGGCAAGCCGCTGCCTTCAGCTGCACACTTTAAACATTTTTACTGGGGACCGTGACCTCCCCCTTTCCTCTCCGTCTCTCTCGGTGCCGGCGGCAGCTTAAACAGGAACGTTAACAGTCCGTTGGTCACCGCAGCCGTAAACGTCCACGACAGCAAATCTTCGCGCAGACGTGCCCAGGTGCCAACCCAGGAATTTAAACTGTAGTAAAACCGTCTTCATCTACGGGTGAGAGGCGAGAAAACAGCACACGGCAGTTTGAGAAAATAAATGGTGGATAAAGTTTGGTTAATCAGCTAGTTTGATGGGGTGGGGAGGGCATTCGATGGAGGAAGACAAGGAGGAGAAATCAAAGTGGGAATGGGTGGGGGATCGTTGCACCTGCACCTCCCAGCTGTGCTGCGCCTATTCTGAATCACTGCTCCACCGGGAGAGACTGCTTAGCGGTCGATCTGGAAAACAGGGATTTATTACCAAAGAGGGGGCTACTAGTGCAACGTGTGCGTATATCTGCATATCTGCGTGAGGGGGTGGTGGGTGGGTGCAGCAGCTTACTGTGGAGATGAGTTTGGCTCCCACCTGTCTGACAATCTCTAAAAAAGAAAAGCTAGTTTGAGCCTACACGCTGCAGTATGTGTTGTTCTGCAAGACAGAAAGGGAAGTTTGTGAATATATATTTATTCATCTGGATGATGAGTCAAGTAGAACGACTGTGTAACTCACATTTTGCATAAAAAGCTGTTTGGTTTGTTTTTGGCCAGACTGGGAAGAAAATCGCTGGAGGCGACAGTACTGTCATATGTTTTTGTTTTCACTGGTTTGCATTAGTCAGTGTGGATTCACACCTTGAATGATTTATATTTTGGGAATTCCAAGACCTTAGCTGTCAGTGATGACAGGACAGCCACAGCACAAAGATTTAGATTTTAACATAAGTATTTGTCCATCAGCTGCAGAGGCTAAAGGAAAGCCCAAAGCACGTTTAAAGGTTTTTGGAATCACAAATTTTAAAAATTACTCAGTACTGAAGACATTTTATAAGACTCTCCATTATGTTTTCCAGGGCGAGTAAGTGAATCTACGCCTTCTCACAAAGATGAAAAACATATGCGTGTGAATAAGACGCAGCGCACACGTGCAAGAGAGGCCAGGTCCTAATCAATAAAACAGGGAGTTAAATAATTTCTCTGTCGACACTATTAACCTGAATCTCAGCAGATAAGCAAATTGAACTACAATGTAGAAATGGCTTATCCAATTAAAAGGGAATATAATGCACAGCAGGAAGTGTGCACTAAACCTGCACGGGTCAAACAAGAAATACCACAAGAGCTGTGCTGCCTCTCAATACTGAGATGAGGGCGAGCAAGAGACACACAGGATGAGAGGAGCGAGAGAAGCAGCACAGCACAGTTTCCCAAATGAGCTGTTTGCCTGGCACGCTTCGGGGCTCTCGCATTGTTGCTGTGTTTAGAAATAGTCTCAGCTAGGATGCTTTAAAAATTAGCTGCCGCTTAAACCTTTGCAGCATGCCACACGAATAGAGCCTGACATCACACAGTGACTATTTCAAAGGAAACTTGTTATGATCTTCAAGAGGGATGTATGAATATGCATCAGCAAGAGAAGGTCAGAGATCAAGGCTGGAAAGAGGCGTTTGTGCACCTGGATCCGTTCTTGCTCGAGATCACAAAGGTGGATGAAAATACGGCGAAAGTGACATAAAAGGAAGGTTCGGCATCCTTGGTGCTGAAATCCTGCTCTAAAGATTTGACTGGTATTAACAGCTGTTCCGAGTTACCGCTCCCTCTCTTCATATTAAAGTCAGATCAAACGGACGAGTGGCTCTATCACAGTGGGAATTAAGGCTTTATCAAATATCTCAAGGGAGCCCACGTCTGCAGAGACCAGTGGACTTGAGTAAAAATACCCAACACAGCAGAGCGGCCAAGTTAGTTCACTGCCCCTCTTTCTGTGTCTCTGACACCCCCCGCTGCCTTTCCCCCTTTCCCCTCCTCTCCTCTTCTCCATGCTCCTGTGTGTGCTCCTCGCTCACACACTCACACCCTCACAAGCCCAAAGAAACGCTCAAGTTGGTGGCTGAGCGGAATATAGATGCGACGGGAGACAAGAGCTGGTGCCGTGATTTGCACATAGACAGAGGATACACACCCTGCGCTCTGCTTCAGTCTTCTTCCATCTTCAGTTTCTCTCCTTCCCCTGTTTTCTCTTGCTCTGGACAAAATGTGAAAGGCATTGCTAAAGTGAACGAACCCCGCGCACACTGCCAGACCCTCGATATCCTCTGCCCCAAACTCGGAGCCCTAAATGACAGTCAGACGCGCGCAAGAAGGACTAAACGGGAATAAACTTGCACGGATGGACCTGGCTGTGCAGGTGATGTATCGTGTGCCATTTCCAGACCCGGGACAAACTTGACAACACATATGTTTGCGCCATTAACACACAAGGGTAGCCCGGGTGAGACCAGGCGGAAGACCAGAATAAAAAGAGCGTGGGATCGCTCCCAGTCTCAGCGAAATAGTCCCCAAATCCCTCACACACGCGCACACATCTCGTCTGTCTTACCTGGTGGAGGAGAAAAGCCAAGAGAACGCAGACTCCAATCTCCATGGTCGGCAAAATTTCTCTGGGTGCGAAACACAAACAGCTTCAAGACAGGGCGATAGAGACTCTGTGAGCTGTGTTCATAATTCCACTGTCCAACCGCCGGAGAGAGAGGAAAGCCTTTCGCCGTGAGCCGCCAGCTGCCAACTTCCTCCAAATATAACTGCAGTCTGATCAGCACAGTGCTGGGTAGTGAAGGCGAGACCACGACCAATAGATTTATGAGCAGGACAGAGACGGGGGGGGAGGCGGAGAGGGGAGTGGTGGGGGATGAGGCGGGGAGTTCGTCGCGATCCAAGCAGCGGGTCAGCGTCGACACCCGGTTCGTTTGTGGAGTTTTCGGCAGGTGCAGCCGCAGGTTTCGAGGATTCATCAACATGACGCGTATCGCGCCGTTTCAGTTTTCACGCGCGACAGGTTTATGGCCCCGATAGTGTCTGTAATTCACCCTCTTTTCAAGATTATTTACGGTGTCTGTCATCAGTGTCAGTGGCGCACGGGAAGCCTCTATTACCCACGAAGCCGCACCACTGCGATGATGCCTGAGAGAAAAACTTCAGTAATGAAACATTTTAAACCCAAACTAGAATCACGAGCCGCGACCAAAGAGGCTTAAACATGAATCATTCATTCGGCCTTTAATAGCTTACTTTGGAGCTGCATTCGTGTCAGCGTGTTTCCTTGCTTCTAGCTAAATGATCAATTGTTAATTTGTGCGGGGAATGAATTTTTGCAGTTCTCTTTTCAGCATGTGCACCGCAGCCAAGTTGAGCTCGAATTTTCTTTTACTGCATGTTTATTATAAATGTAAAAAACCGACCTTTGCATATGTGACGAATTTATTGTCACTGCTTTTTAAGTTACTTTCAGTGCAGCTTCTCCTTCTTCTTTTTTATCTCTATGTTCTAAACTAAAAACACTGAAAAGCGCATTTCTGTTCTATTCTTAAGCCAGGGTAACCCCTTTAGCCTTTCTCTGTGCTCTTGGAAGCATTCCTGTGAAAACGAAGCCCACACCTGATAAAAGTCTCCAACAACAACACCTCCTGTTGGAGAAGCATTCGTTTGAAAAACATGGTGCTTGAAATTGAAGAAGTCCTTGAAGTAAAAGAAAGAACGAAAGAAGCCCTACTTACATTTTCAGATAGAACAAGAAGGCTTGTAGCTGAGAGCCACAGAGAAGGGAGGCTTCACTCCATCTCCAGCCTTTTACTTTAAAACACAAGATCCTTGTCAGGTGTCCTTGAGGGGGGGAAAAAGCACTCAGTAGCTAAAATCATGCCGTTGTGTAACTGACTGTGACCTCTGAGTTTGCAGGTGGGAATAATCAATTAATTACTGCACAATTATTAAAGAGGAGGATGGCTCATTAGAATTCAACCCTGCTGCTGATTAGCCCTAATAACATAAAATATAGTGTAGGGAGATTGCCTTTGGTTCTGCAGGGATGATGTAGAACAAAGCATGTCGGGCACTAGCTTAAGCCTGCAGTTTCAGTATCCTGCCATTTAGTTGACTATCAGCAGAAAAAAAATCCTAATACGGAAAAAAAATGTTGTGAAAAATGTTCAGGATTCAGATATCTGCCAGTCTACCTCGTCACTGCTCGCCTCAGTGACGAGTTCCTCACTGAACCTTTTTTCATGGCCCAAAGGTCAGATGTCTGTAAACCAGCCCATCAGTCTTTCTTAAGGGGCAGAATTGTCACAAAGCACACTTAATCTTCATGCAAAGTACCCCTAACCTCCAACACAGAGATAAGTCGTAGAGGCTGAGACAGATGGATGGGTCTGCTGTTCAAAGCAACTGAACTCTGACATAATGGAAACATTTAGAGCTCTTTACTCTCCCTTTCTATTCTATCCATCTGTCCATTTCTTACACCTAAACAATCGTAACATGGGACACATTTCTGCATACAGCCATCATGATTTGAGAAAAGGAAAAGGTTAGCCCCACACAAAAGTCAGTTGTGGGTCATTGTGAGTGTCTCTCAGTGCAGCAGTCAAGTTCCTCCCTTCAGTTTCTCAATGGATGTGAAAAATGAGGGCAAGAATTGTTGTGACGCCTGAGGAATTGCTTTTCCCAGACAATATTTCTGCCATATTCATTTATCAGTAAGTAAAAGCACAGGGATTGTATCACTGCTGTCTGCTCAGTTCAGAGCACACACATTCAGCTGCGGACCGCAGGAAGATGGCTGGTATAATCAATTAAAATGACACAGCTGAATGAAGAATAAAATGTCAAACAGTGTGTAACATTCCCTGTCACATATTTCATGATCATCACTACATATTTTAGATTATGGGAATGACACAAAGAGCGTCATATTCGGTTTTGTAAGCCGTGGCTAAGTGGAATCAACAAATCATGACTGAAGTGTGTGTTCGGTGGGTTTAGCTCAGTCAGTTCTACGGTTCAGTTTCATTACTCTCAAATACTCCAGACTCGATTTTGTAACCTCAGAAATATAATTTCTACTTGTTATATTTGTGGCTATTGAACATTTTTTAGTAATTATGTTTCTATAATTCAGATTTGATACCTAAAAACGTGGCTGGTGACTGATTTAACTGCTTTTTCAGTCTCTTCTCAGCAACTTGGTGGAAAATTATAGCTCCACAACAACAGTAGAAGTTAATGTTGGACCAGTTGTCTGAAATAGGAGGATAATATGCAGCCAGTGAAAGAGGATGTGGCAACGCTGACTGACTTTGATTGTTGTCTGTCTGAGGTTGCATTTCCTCCATCTCACATCGGAAAAGACTGCAACTGCATATAGTAAGGTATTAAAACCAAGGACCCGGATGTTTGTGTTCATGTCCCACATAAAGAAAAGAAAAAAATATAGTCCTCTGAAAATAATTATGTCTTTCAAGAAATAAATAGTGTATTATTAGTAGTGTTTATCTTCTTTTTTCTGTTTTCATAGAATAAAATAATACTTTTGATATGTGAGAGCAAAGACCAACAATGTTAAGAGACAAACGAGCCAAGAATGGAAAATATAAATACGACATTTCTCGTGTATATCCTCATGTATGTACAGTAACAAGTTATCCATCCTGTATTTATTCCTTAATGTTTTGCAACATCCTCACACTCTGCATCACTGCACATAAATATGCGACATGTGTTGCTTTTGTCTGTTTCATGTTGCTATTGTCACCATTATAGGCTCCATTCATGTAAACAGTCAGTAAAGCTGATTCTGCTTCCTATTCAGAGTCATATTACTAATTTCAACGGGATCTTCCACTAGAAAAAGCAAAGACAGTAAAGTAGGATCCCTGCCACGGTCTCTGTCAGCTGCTGTTTCCAACTGATATCAAATACATGGAGCAACCTACACTTCTAACAACACCTAAAAGCACCCCTCATAACAACTGCGCCTCCCCAACCCCAGGAAGGTATGGTAATCAGTTCAAGAGCCTAGACACAGAACTGTGTCAGGAACCTTTCGATCAAGACCGAACGAGGAAAAGCAGCGAGCACTTTTCCAGAAACGCAACCTTGAGTTACACCTCACTTCAGAACAGAGACGTAAGCAGAAAGAAAATATATAATCAAATATATAATCATCTTTGTGGCTTCTTTTTCTTGACCTTCAAAATACAAAATATGAGTAACTATTCAGTTACAGTTACTGTTTAAATAGGTGATAATTAGAATACAGTTACTTTGTTGAAATACATGGATTACATGGCAGTATTTTCCCGTTTCATATGTTAGGCTATCCCCTCTCTAATTTTGTGTAATGGAGACCAGGGGTTCCATTACCCTTACTTGTGTTTTTATTAACTGATTGACTGATTGGGAATTAAAACAATATAATAAAGAAAAACACACATTTGTTCTTCTGGATTCTGTGGCGTGGGTGTGGTCTCTGGCCGGCTGCAGAGGAGGGGTGACGCAGTGAGCTCCCGGGCGGCGCAGGGGCGGGGTGAACAGGTGTGCTGAGAAGTGAAGGTGATTGTCACTCTTTATATGTCCGCAGTGACAGTCAGAGGAGTACTGAAAACCACAGTATTAATAACAGTATTGCTGTCCTCACACCTGTGTCCCGTGGATGCTTTACAGGACAAACGTTACAGATTCTTTATTAGGTTTATTTCATTTAGGATTTAAGTAACAGCTTGTAAAGGTGAAAAGACAATCCACACATCCTACCTGTGTCAGAAAGGAGCCAAAGTTTGAGCTGTTCACATTTAATCATTTGTCTGTAACCTAAACCTTTGGTATGTGTAAAAAGAGAAGTGTTAGCAGTACTCACCCTTCCTGGTTGCTTCTTGCAGGATGTGGAACAAAAGAGTAAAAGCAGCTCAATCACCTGCTGATGAGCTGCTGGAGCAGACCAGTGTGCCAGGTTAGGGGAGTCTGGTTAAGAAGGGTTTTAATTTAGATAGAAATGGTTGAAGAGTATGTTATTGATTTGTTTATAGTATGTGTTGGAAATATGTATATGCTTGTTATGTGTTCTAATGTTATTGTATGTTTGTTTGTGTGGAGGGTTATGTTTTCATTTTGATTGGTTAACCTGGGCTAGTCCAGATGCTCAGCTGAAACAGCGAGAGTATAAAAGGAAGCCAGATGCTTTTTAGAGGGCTTGGTGTTTGTGCCGTATCAGTGTCCCTTCTTCAATAAAGTCTTCTAGTCCATGGATACATTTTATTCCAGTTTCGCGTCATATTATTAGAAGGAAATATGACCGCTGGCCAAAACTGACATTTTGGTAATTACACACATTGTCGGAAACTTAAACTTGCATTAAGAGGCTCTAATGTAAGCATCCTGTTAATGTTGGTGTCCTCAGTTACACAATGGACCCAGAGCCAGCACAACAGAGGCAGCAGTGCACGGGCAGGAATGCATTTCTTACTTGGAAATTCTGACTGCACTTCACATTTAAAGAAGAAAGGGATCAAATCTGAGCGTACAATGCAGACTCTGTTTGTCAGCAACCAAGCTGCTCTCAGCATCAAAAGACTCCAACCTAAAGAAACATCTGGAAGTAAGTTGCTCCACCACCACTAAAGCAATTCATTAGGCATAAAGAAAGCTCAGACAGGACCACTCGAGCTACAATCCGAGGAGACTTGTTTATACCTCACAGACGGACAGCATTTGGGCAGAACGTCCTCTCTGTTAAGGGTGGCCATCTGTGCAACAGTCTTCCTCAACCCATTAGGTTGGAGGAAGTCCGAGCTGCAGCCTGTCAGCATCAACGGGGAGTGCGTGGAAAGGGTCTCCAGTTTCAAGTTTCTGGGTGTGCACATAGACACAGACCTCCAATGGAGCTCTAACACCTCTGCGGTCTTAAAGAAGGCCCAACAGCGTCTCCACTTTCTGAGAATCCTCAGAAAAATGGACCTGAAGAAGGAGCTGCTGACCGTCTTCTACCGCTGCTCCATTGAAAGTGTGCTGACATATTGCATCGGTGTGTGGTTCTCCAGCTGCACCACAGCACACAGAAAGGCACTCCAGAGGGTCATCAACATGG